AGTGTTATCTACCTTGCCGTCACACTATATGCAGATTATGCTCTTACCAAAGAGGCTATTAAAGGAACTTGAACAAAAGAAAATACATATCAAGACTAATGAGCACTTAGCGATCATCTAATTTAGACAGTTCAAATTTAATTTTGTTTTTATTTTTTTAAAATAATTATTTTAATAGGTATAGAATAAAAAATAAAAATAATTTCTTAATTATAGTTCTTTTAAAAAATAATTTTTCTATTTTAAAATAATTATTTAAAAATATTAAATTTGGATCTTTCAGATGATTGCTCATCAAGTGATGAGCTAGTAATGAGCACCAAACCGGACCCCAACTAGTTCGGCCTCTCAAGACGATCCTCCCAGACGATGATGAACAGTCTCCCTCGGTCTCCAAAGTGGTCTCCCAAAACGCTGCCGTCTTGATCTGTCGAATCTCCCCAAATACTCCATGCTCCAAACGACGCGTTGCTCAGCAGCTTCCAAAACTTCTCCCACGGTGTCGTTTCTGGCAATAATGAAAGGGGAGAAGTGAAAATGAAATATATAAAGAGAGAGAAAAAACACTAAAAGAAAATAACATAAAAGGAAAAAGAAAATAAAATAAAATTAAAAATAAGATAAGATAAGATAAAATCAACTAAATCTTAAACTTAATATTAATTATTTTTATTCATTTAAAGCTAAGATATTTGTAATAAACTCCCCAAATCATGCTCAAAATCAAATATTTCAATTAACTCTTAGAAATTTTCCAGAATGCATTGATAACTCTCTAAAAATCATTCAAAAAAATATTCTTTAGATATATTAAAAACAGAGAGTTATCACTATAATATATATCTAACCTGACAGCATATCTAATATTCAAGGGAGTCCCCAAAATCCTCTTATCCCTTCCAAAACACCTTCAAATTCAACTCCCCTAAATGGATAATGTTTCGAGAACCTTACACCTAATATGAAAAATTCCCAGAATTTATCAACATTCAACTATTGATATAAGATTTTCAGAAGAAAGAGCAAATGAAACTCCCCTGGTCAGCATGGTTCGTTCGAAAGCTAGAAGCTCAATAATAATGATGAAAAGAAATCAGATTAGCTTCTCGCTTTTCCGCTTATCAATTTCGAATAACAATTAATATACATATATACATATAGTTTAGGTACTTAAGCATTTAAATGTTTCATTCTCCGAATTAACTAAAAATGAAACCTTTTATAAATCTGAAATTCAATACCAGGTTACTAACGAGAAACAGAACTCCACAAGCAATCAAATCCATCTATATAAACCATGTTCTTAAGCTTCTTTATATGCTCACATGATATACAGCAAACCAAGACCGAAACCTTTCCTATATATTCATGAATCTGACACTATTCCCCCCCCCCCCCAAACAAAAGCCATATACCCCTGTTCGGTAATCTCAAAAACAGAGCATCAACCTTACATTCAAGCCCAGAAACCAGCATCATACACTACAATCTTGCCATTGAACATAAACTCACTGAAACTCCTATCCTTTCCATCACTTGCTCCCACTACCCTTCACTCTCTCTCTTCAAGTATTCCATAACCACGCAGCAAACCCAGAAAAGAACAGTGGAAGAATGATTAGGAAGCTCACCTTGACTGATCAATCTGTTTGCATGCTTGGTTTGGGTCATTTAAGCTTGCTAAATTGGATTTCAACATTTTACAAGCCAAATACCAAGAAGATTTGAAGCATGCATCAACGTATGTATGTGTGCATATTGATAGTGTTAAGTAGTTAAGCTTTGTTAATTAAGTTATAACTGAATGTAGTCCCATTTGTCCACTTGCGTCTATATTCCCCTTGTATAGCTGACACGTGTATTGGTCCCATCTCTATAAATATTGTACAGTTTTGAATATTCAATACAATGTATCATTCACTCTTTCATTTGTCCTTTCTATCATGTTCTCTCTGACTTCCTTTATGGTACCAGAGCACGAAAATCCTAAGGCAATGTCTTTCGCTTCTCAATCCTCTACTTCTCACTCCTCTACTTCTTTCTCTCAGTCAAAAAGAGATATAGTGACTTTTTCGCATTTAGTCTCAGTAAAACTAGATGAAACTAATTTTCTGATTTGGAAACACCAAATCACTTTAGCCATCCATGGTCATGACTTACAGAATTATATTGACAAAATCGCCAAGGTTCAGCTGAAGTACCTCCCAGACGAGAAAGATCCTGAAGATGTCCGTCCAAATCCACAGTAACAAGATTGGGAAAGGCAAGATCAGCTTCTTGCCTCATAGATGTCATGCTCCATGAGTGACACGATGCTCACTCGCATTGTGGGCTGCAAGACCTCTTTACAGATCTGGGAGAAGGTCCATGGTCACTTTGTGTCACAAACACGTACAAAGGTACGACAACTCAAGTAACAGCTCAGGAATACCAAGAAAGGTAATTTGACTGCCAATGAGTATCTCTTACAGATAAAAAGCCTTGCAGATGCGCTTGCTGGCATTGGTCATTCGATCAGTGAGTCAGATCACATAGAAATCATTTTTGAGGGTCTTATTGAAGAATATGACCCTTGGATCACTGCTGTTACAACAAGATCTGATCCGTATACTATTGAAGAAATTGAAGCTTTGCTCTTGGCACAAGAATTTTGTATTGAGAAGAATCAAAGAGTTGTTATGGCAACTACAATGAATCTTGCTTACACCAAACCTTCAAACAGGGGAGGTGGTCGGTCTAGAGGAGGTGGCCGCTATAATCGAGGACGTGGTCGTTCGACTTCGGGTGCTAATTCATCTGATACCCCATCTATTGGTACATTTTCTGAAATATGTCAAATCTGTGAAAAGAAAGGTCATAGAGCTCGTAAGTGTTGGTATCACTTTGATGAATCCTTCCAAGGATTGAATCTTGATGATAAGAACACCAAGAAAAACCAGAGTGCTTATGTTGCTACGGCTAAATGTGTTGGTGATTCGAATTGGTATCTCGACTCTGGAGCTACTAGCCATGTTACTAAAGATGAACACAACATCTCAGAGAAATCAAGTGATAAAATTGTTGATCGATTGTTTATTGGTAATGGTAAAGGACTTTTAGTTTATTGCACTGGTTCCTCTAATTCAACTTTGCCTTATTCTCAACATACTCTTAAACTCAAAGATATTCTTCATGTTCCTAAGATTTCTAAAAATCTATTGAGTATTCCTAAGCTCTGTCTTGATAACGATATACTAATTGCTTTCTTTTCTAATGTTTATGCGATCAAGGATCTGCAAACTAATCGGGTCATCTACCAAGGTCGTCTCAAATGTCAACGCTCCAGACTTCATGGTGTCTCCTTATCAATCCAACCTCCTATCTCTTAGTTTTCAGCACAGTCCTCCAAATCGTCTTCCCAATTTGCTTATGTGTCTACAACTTCTGATAGTAATACGTCTATTTTTTATTTGAATAACACTGGTCTATCTTCCTTTCACATTTGGCATAATAGATTAGGCTATCCTTCCTCTTCTATTGCAATCGATGTCATGAAATCTTGTAATCTGTCTACTGGTAATAAGAAATCAGTGTTTGATTTTTGCAATGCTTGTTGCCTTGGCAAAGCTCATCGACTCCCTTACTCTTTATCTTCTACTCAGTACACTCATCCTCTTGAACTTGTTCATTCAGATATTTGGGGCCCTGCTCCCTATACATCTCCTGATGGTTTCAAATATTATGTTCATTTCATAGACGCTTATTCCTGTTTTACGCGGTTTTATCCCCTACACACGAAGTTTGAAGTTTATGATGTGTTTTTGGAATTTAAGAAGATGGCTGAATTACAACTTAATTGTCAGCTTAAGGCTTTCCGGTTAGATTCTGGTGCTAAATTTCTCAAGATTGGTTCATTTTAAAAAGATCATGGTGTTATTCATAAGCTATGTTGTCCATATACTCATAAGCAGAATGGACTTGCTGAGCAAAAGCATAGATCAATTACTGAAATAGGGTTGACTTTACTAGCTAATGCATTATTGCCTTTTAAAATGTGGGTTGATGCCTTTTTAACTGCTGTATCTGTTCAATCACTTGCCCAACAAGACAACTGGTGGAGTTTCTCCTTTTGAAAAATTATATGGAAAGGCTCCTAGTTATATTCACCTTGGAACCTTTGGTTGTGCTTGTTTTCCTCTTACCAGACTGTATAATAAGCACAAGATGGACTTCCAGTCTATTCCTTGCATCTTTATTTGTTACAGTGTTGCTCATAAAGGCTACAAGTGTTGGGACCCAAAAGGCAGAATGTACATATCACGAGATCTTTGCTTCAATGAGTCTAATTTTCCTTATCCTATTCTGTGCACTTCTTCCTCTCCTCTTGTCCTATCTGCTAAGTCCTCCTTTGTCTCACCCCCTCACCTGTCCTTTCTTCTGTGTCTTCTCAGTGCAATGCTACTTATAGTTTTGTTGCTTCAGCTGTTCATACTTGCAGGTCTCCATCAAGCATCTCATCTCCTTCTGCTATTGAACCTTTGTCCTCTGAATCTAGTCAACCACCTCTAGCACCAGGACCAGAGAGACAAATAGTGACAATGTCTATGAATGGCATTTTTAAGCCCAAAGCATATGGTGATGAGATAGAACCCGCATGTGTTTGTGATGCTCTTACTTCTTCTGTCTGGAAAAAGGCGATGGATGAGGAATATAAGGCTTTATTACAAAATAAGACATGGCACCTAGTTGAGTTACCTCCTAATAGGCAAGCAATTGGGTGCAAATGGGTCTGGAAGAGGAAGACAAATCCTTATGGTAGCATTGCAAAGTACAAAGCTCGCCTTTTTGCCAAAGGTTTTCATCAGATATAAGGGTTTGATTTCAATGAAACCTTCAGTCCTGTTGTTAAACCAGTCACTATCTAAGTGGTTCTATCCATTGCAGTGTCCCAAAATTGAGCCTTATGACAAGTTGATGTGCATAATGCATTTCTTAATGGCTCTCTTCAAGAAGAAGTTTATATGCAACAACCTCTTGGCTATGAGCACAAAAACAAAGCACTTGTGTGCAAGCTTGATAAAGCTTTGTATGGCCTTAAGCAGGCTCCTAGGGCCTGGTATGTGAAGCTGTCCAGCGTCTTCTATAAATTAGGTTTTCATAGTAGCAAGTGTGATCAGTCTCTATTTGTAAGGATCACAAAATCTGATATTATACATGCCTTGGCCTATGTTGATGATATCATTCTTACTGGTACATCCTCTATGTTAATCACCAACATTATCATAGCTATGAATAAGGAATTCACACTCAAGGATCTTGACAGTCTTAGTTACTTCCTTGGTATAGAAGTTCAAAGGCCCTCTGTTGGTTTACTTGTATTATCCAAAACTAAATACATTAAAGATGTGCTTAAGAAGGTAGGGATGGCTTCAGCAAAAGGTGTTGCAACACCAATGGTGTCCATTTTGAAGCTCTTTAAAGAAGGACCTCATCTATTTGATCAACCTGCACTTTATCAGTTCATTGTTGGGGCTCTTCAGTATGCTACCATCACACGTCCTGAGATTAGTTTCTCAGTAAATAAGGTTTGTTGGTTTATGCAAGCTCCATTAAAGGAACATTGGGTTGCTATCAAAAGGATTCTAAGATATCTTGCAGGAACAATTAATCATAGGCTATGCTTCACTCCTTCTGCCACAAGATCTGTTGTGGCCTTCTGTGACTCAGATTGGGCTGCTGATTGTAATGATAGAAGGAGTGCAAGTGGATATTGTATCTACTTTGGTAGTAATCTCATTTCATGGTCATCCAAGAAGCAAACCACTGTTACTAGATCAAGTACTGAGGTAGAATACCACTTTATGGTGTCCACTGTCTTAGAGGTCTTATGGTTAAAGTCTTTATTTTTTGAGTTAAAGCTCAAGATTCCTGGCATACCTCAAATCTTATGTGATAATCTTGGTGCAGTTCTCATTATTGCTAATCTAGTTCTACATGCCCATACTAAACACTTGGAACTTGATCTGCATTTTGTTCGTGAACGTGCTATTCGAGGAGAAATTTGTGTTACTCACATACTTGCAACTAGTCAAATAGCTGATGGCTTGACTAAGCCCTTGTCCAGCTCAAAATTTACAGAGTTCAAAAGAGGTCTTCTAATAGAAGAGTACGTCAAATTGAGGGGGAATGATATTGTTAAGTAGTTAAGCTTTGTTAATTAAGTTATAATCAAATGTACTCCCACTTGTCCACTTGCGTCTGTATTTCCCTTGTATAGCTGACACGTGTATTGGTCCCACCTCTATAAATATTGTACAGTTCTAAATATTCAATACAACGTATCATTCACTCTTTCATTTGTCCTTTCTACCCTGTTCTCTCTGACTTCCTTTACATATATAAAAGAAAAAAGTCATGCTTTCCTCCACTTGGAATATTTCACCATTTTTAGTTATCTTACAGCTCTCTCTTTGCTTTTCAATATATTGGAGGGACAATTGAAGTAATTAAAGTTATTAATGTTGCATTTTAAACACATTTCTCGTTGTGATATATTTTTATTGTGAATTAAAAAGGTTTTGTTGAGAATTTTCACGCGTTTCAATGTATAGTTGGTGGAAAAGAATGGGAATTGGAGGAAAATTGAGCTTTTCAAGGGATAGAATCGTGGAGAGCTTCATTTGGGCAGTTGGATTTGCCGAGAAACCACGCTTTGGATATTATAGAAGATTGGCAACAAAAGTTAATGCACTAGTAACTACCATTGATGATATTTATCATGTCTATGGCAAAGTAGAAGAATTAGAAGTTTTCACACAATTCATTGACAGGTTAGTGTTTTGATTCCATTTTAATCATATTTCCTCTGATATTAAATATATGAGCTAGTATAGAAGTGTGCTTAATTAATCTTAAAGGAAAGAAGTCAATACACTTTGTCTTACAAATTTATAATTTTTTTTCTAAACAATCATATTAATTGGACATACTAAAGAGAGTTTTCATCAATGTGGATAGTTTCTGCATGTTGCAAGTGACTGGAGGAATATTTTAGAAAATTAACACAAATTTCTTAATGAAACTAGTTTTCTTAATATCTACAACTTGGTTATTCAACTCCTATATTTAGTATTGGAGGAATATATACTTTAATTTCTCACCTCGTAGTTGTCTTAACATACATGATGATTAACATTTTGTAGATGGGATATAAATGCCATTGATTCTCTTCCAGTGTACATGAAGATATGCTTCCTTGCGCTTTACAATTTTGTCAATGAAGTGGCTTTTGACATCCTTAAAGAGAAAGGACACAACATCATTCCACACTTTAAGAAAGTGGTATGCGTGTTTTGAGTCAGTTCATTGATTTATGGTTTGGTACATGTATCATTAAATTTATAACAAATCGTGATAATTATATTATATTCTCTAATTTCAAGTGTTAATTACTTTTCTAGTGGGCTGACCTTTGTAAATCATATTTGGTTGAGGCAAAATGGTACCATAGTGGCTATCATCCCAGCATGCATGAGTACTTAGAAAATGCGCAGATTTCAATTGGTGGACTGTCACATGTGTTCATGCTTATTTCGCACTTTCTAGTTCAAGACTTCTAGACTCGGTTTACTTGGAAGAATATCATGACATTATTCATTCTCTATCAACCATTGTCTGCCTTGTCAATGACCTGGAAACATCCCAGGCATCATGACAATACATCCTTTCAATTATTTCGTTAAGGAAAAATTATAGACAAAACCTCTACACTTATGTTATAGGTAAAATGGTTCAAGGTATGTCTTTCCTTCTTAAAAACAAAAGAGGAATCATGATTCCATGAAAATAGAATTCCCTAGGAAAAGCTTTCCTTTCAAACTCACCTACGAAGACAATTAAAATAGCATCAACCAGTCCAAGGTGGAAAAATCATTTATCCACATTCATCCCTAATTAAGTCCAATTAATCAATTATCAATTAAAGGTGCCAAAAGCCTAAGATTCAAGATGAAAATATATGAAAATATTAGGATTTATTGTTTATCTGCATGTAACTCAAATTCTAAAGGACATGAAATTGATGGTTTGGGTTATCTATATAGGCTTGAAAGTTAAGGGGACTTATTATTAAGTTTTAAAGGTTAAGGAGGTTATTTATACATGATTCTAATGATCTCAATTTTTTTTAATCAAATTTTACTCTTATTATTATTATTATTTGTTTTAACGTGAAAAGGAAACAGGTGATGTACATAAATCAGTCGAGTGCTATATGAATGAAACTGGGGCTTCTGAACCTGATGCTTACAAGCATATAAATTCGTTGATATGTGAAACTTGGAAGAAGATGAATAAAGAAGCCATCAATTCTCATGACTTCAAAAGTTTCATTGAAGTTGCTTTGAATTCTGTAAGGATGTCATGATGCATGTACCAGCATGGAGATGCTCATAGCATTCAAGATCTTGAGACTAAGAATAGTATTATGTCGATACTTTTCCAGCCTATTGTATGAATTTGGATTGAAGAAGTCCTTTTCACTTAAGAATAAGCATAAATTTGAGTTGTTGATATGATGCAATTGCAGTCATCATCCAAGCTCTTTAAATTCATCATCCAAGCTCTTTAAATTCATACTTGGATTGCTTGTTTCTGGAAGAATACAAGAGATGTTTGTATATGTATATTTGTACCTTCAGTGCAAGACCATAATAATTTTTTGCAAAATTTTTTAGAGTCTCTCATATAATCTCTCTGTTTTTTGTCTATGGGTATTGGCTAAGAGCCAAAAGGTATAGTACTAAAGTCTAAAGATATAGGACCTACCATAACACGTCAAAGTTCCTTGCCAAAATCCAATAACTACTCAAGAAATTGAAAATAAGAACATATACCTAAGATGTCTTCTACCATTGCCAACCCACCAATTGGTGTGTGGGCACGAGCTTGTACTGGGATAGAAAACATTCGAGAATATCTATCTCCACATAATAGAAATATTCTTTAGTGGTGATTCAGATTTTTTTTAAAAAAATAAACATTTATGTATATTTTTTATTTTATAGTAATTTTGAAAACGATTTTATCATATCAGAAGAGCATTAGAGACCCATTAGGAACCGTGCCATTGGGGACCACTTCAAACGTCTTTGGACCAACAGCTTGAAGTCTTCAAATTTTAATAATGAATACAAGGATGGGTCCCATAGCCAGTCCGTGTGGGTGGGAACCAGAAAAGATAAAAATATGACTCCCTCTTTACTTAAGCCGACAGCACTACTGCCACCACATGCCCCTCATTTTACAACCTACAAAACCAGAAACGAGAGAGACAAAAGAAGAGGAAGCCGTGAAGAAGAAGTCGTGGGAGAAGAAGAGGTTGAAGAAGGGCCAACAATCGAGAAGATTAAAGGTTGTAAGATGTTTAGAAAGCTCACCTTGGTCAGATTCCACTCTTGCATGCACGAAAATCCCCTTCGATCACCTTCTCCTTTTCCGACTTGTTCCTCTGGCTCACCTTGCAGACGGGGGATGAGAATGGGAGAGGCGCGTTGGTCGGTTATAAGGGTTAGGGATATTGAAAAGACCATTTTGGCCATCCTTTATTTCTTGTTTTCCACTTCATCCCTAAAGCTATTTTTCTCAAATAATCAAATAATTCCATAAGTTAATCCTTAATGTTTTATATGAATTTTCCTTCTCTATCAGTTTCTTTGACCATAAATAATTTCTCTAAAATGTCGCATCAAAATTTAGCACCTAACTATTTTTCTTGAATTTTTCAAGAAATAGGTCCTATTCCCCAAATTTAGCTTTATAATTAGTTGGGCTATATTTTAAGAGATTTCATATTACCAGTTCCTCCAAAATATTGCCCGACTCCACAAAATTTGGGATATTATTGTAAGACAGATTCAAATTAACATATAGAAAGTATATTCCATCCAGATAATACAAAAAGAATCCTCTTATAAAACATACAGCGGAAGACTTTAAGATTAGAGTTACCTCTCGCTATAGCTATTGCTTGATTAATCTGAGAGTTGCAAAACAGATTAGAGTCAAAAGAAAATAGATTCAAGTCTCTTTTGACTAGAAGATGGGCACAATCATGGCAACCGGGTTCAACCATCACCAGTCAGGGAACCTCAGAGAGAAGATAGGGTTTCAGTTTCTGAATGTATTGCTCTATGTTTTGTTTCAGTCGTCAAAACCTAATAATTAAATTCTCACTATCAGAGAAATATAATCCTGACTGAAAATAAAAACCCTACCAGGCTTGGGCCTTATCTGACCACAGGCCACTCTCAGGACATTTTATTAATTCCTAATTAAATAGCTAAATAATTAATGATAATCATAAAATATCTCACATTCTCCCACTTGGCCCCGTGTACTGTATATCAATTGCTTTATCCTAGACAAGCTAAGGCTATACTACAAGAATCATGACGATAAGTCCCCTTAAGTCGGGTATTGCCTTCCATGCATTACAAGCAGTACCCTTACTTAATGGGTATACCTTTATGAATAAACTCAATATTTATTCGGTTCCTGCCTCATGCTTATCAATCTCAAAACACAAATATATATACAATTACAATTAGAGATGACAACCGATAAACTGATTTCATTGCTCATACCTCAACTAATCAAATGAAGGACGAAGTCCCATGTGAGGCACATGCAAAAAAAATTCATTCGGTTTCAATCCCTTAGTCAAAGGATCTGCTAGCATACTCTTTGTATTGATATGTTCAACCGAAATTTGGCCATCCATAACTCTTTCTCCCAAGCAAAGGAACTTTAGTTCAATGAATTTACTTTGACTCTTATTCCTTTTGTTGTTGGATATGGCCACAGTAACTGTGTTATCACAGTACATTCTAATCGGCCTAGAGACTGATTCCACAATCTTAAGCCTTGCAATGAAATTCTTGATCCAGATTGCTTGTGAGCTTGCGTAAAAACGTGCAATGTACTCAGCGTCACCAGTGGAAGGAGCAGTTAGTGTTTGTTTTACACTTTTCCATGAAATGGCTCCTTCTGCTAATAGGAAGATGTAACCAGTTATGGACTTGTATGTGTCCATGCATCCTCCTAGATCAGAGTCTGAGTAACCAATTACTTCTAGATTCTCTGTCCTTAGCATATAGTGTTTAGTACCCTGTAGATATCTAAACACTTTCTTTTCAGCTATCCAATACGCCTCACCAGGATTACTTTGGTACCTTCCCAGCATGCCCATAGCAAAAGCTATGTCAGGTCTTGTGTAGACCTGTGCATACATTAAGCTTCCTACAGCTAAGGCATATGGGACTTTTTCCATTTCCCTTTTCTTAAGCTCGGTCTTGGGACATTGATCTATACTGAACTTATCTCCTTTTTCTAGAGGAGTCACATTAGTAAAACAATTCTTCATTCTAAATCGTTCAAGAACTTTGTTTATATAGGCTTCTTGAGAAAGGCCTAGAAGGCCTAGAGTCCTATCCCTATAGATCTTAATGCCAATGACATAAGATGTCTCACCTATATCCTTCATATCAAAGTTCTTAAACAAGAAGTGTTTTACTTAGTGCAACAGTCCCAGATCATTGGTTGCAAGCAATATGTCATCAACATATAAAATCAGAAATATGATTTTGCTCTCACTAGCGTTATGGTATATACACTCATCCATGATGTTCTCATCGAAACCAAATGATGTGATCACTTCATGGAACTTTAAATACCACTGTCGTGAAGCTTGCTTTAGACCATAGATCGATTTCTTTAACTTGCACACCATATGTTCTTTGTCTTTTGCAACAAATCCCTCAGGTTGCTTCATGTAGACCTCTTCCTCAAGATCACCATTGAGAAAGGTAGTCTTAACATCCATCTGGTGTAACTCCAGGTCAAAATATGCAACCAATGCCATGATGATGCGGAAAGAATCTTTCTTTGATACAGGAGAAAAGGTTTCTCTGTAATCAATTCCTTCCACTTGTGTGAAACCCTTAGCAACCAACCTTGCTTTGTAACAATCAATGTTACCTTGTGAGTCTATTTTGGTTTTATAAACCCACTTACAGCCAATGGCTTTAGACCCACTAGGTAACTCTACAAGCTCCCATACATGGTTGTTTGCCATTGAGTTCATTTCTTCAACCATGGTGTAATGCCACAATTTGGAGTTTTCACTTTTCACAGCCTGAGTAGATGTCAAAGGATCATTTTCAATGCTAACATCACAGTCAATTTCAGCAGAGTACACAACATAGTCACTAGGTAATGCTGGTCTTCTTTCTCTAGTTGACCTTCTTAATTCAACTTCTTGAGTTGGTTCAGATTGCTCATTAGGAACATTTTCTATCACATTCTGTGGTGGTTCAGATTGTGTGACAGGTTGATCAGCTTGCATGTGTTCCTAATGTCCAGCATTTTCAACTTGTGTTATGGGATCCACACTATGTTCTATGACAGCTCTAACTGGATGAGAGTCATTGACCATTGAAGTTCCCTCACCATTTGTGTTAATGGTTTCTTCCATGTGATCATCTCTTATTTGATCACTCCCACTAAACACATCATTCTCAACAAATTTAGCATTCCTAGATTCTACAAAATGGTTTTGAAG